ACTATCGATACTCAGCATACTATTCCTCTTGCCTCCTTTTACCACATTTATACCGGAGTACGAACTTATTCCGTAATCATTAAAAAACCATTCGATATCGATGGGTAAATCTCCGGAGGAGATCAAGCAAGTCACCGAAACGGAATCCTCAACATTCGTGGGTTCGTCTCCGAAGTCGAAGTGTGTGATTTTTGGAGGAACTTTGGAGTGAAGGAAGTGTTTAAAAAATATTACAAAAAAATGAAAAAAACCTTAAGTCTAAGAAAAAGTTAACTAGTAGGTGTACCGTTCACAATTAGTTCGGTGGTATAGTTGACCGCAGCAGCGTGATTCTTAGCCCGACAACTATACTTTCCTGCATGACGCGCTTGGACACTATCAATACTCAGCACGCTGTTCCTCTTGCCACCCTTTACTACATTTATACCAGAGTACGAGCTAATTCCGTAGTCGTTAAAGAACCACTCAATGTCAATAGGTAAGTCACCATTGGCAATGAGACACATAACCGATACAGAATCCTCCACATTTGTTGGAGTATCACCAAAGTCAAAGGGCGTGATTTTGGGTGGAACTTGATTGAGTTATGGGATGAAACGAAATAATAAGCTTAACTTAAAGTGGCAGTCAACTATAACAAAAAGATAATTATTATTATATATCCCATTAGCAATAATATAATAACCATTGACAATCAGGGCCGCGGAATATTCACTGCTGGCTGCCTTGTTCTTGGCCTTGCAGCTGTAGTTCCCCGCATGTCCTGCATGAACGGAGTCTATTGTCAGGACACTAGTCCGCTTGCCTCCTCGCAAAACCGCAATTCCCGAGGCATAGTTAATTGGTTCCCCGTTGAATAGCCACTCAATGTCAATAGGCAAATCACCGGAGGATACGAGGCAGTTTACCGAAACGGAGTCCTCAAAGTTAGCAGGGGATTCCCCAAAGTCAAAAGGCGCTAGCTTCGGTGGGGCTTTGATGTGAATTAAGTGTGAGGTGGGGAAAGAACAAAAACTTAAGTTTAAGAAATATAAGCTCTACTCTAGTTAATAAAAATAAAACAAGTATATTAGATATACCATTCACTATCAACTCAGTTGTGTAATTAACTGCAGCTGCATGATTTTTAGCCCGACAACTATATTTCCCTGCATGACGAGCATGGACATTATCTATTGTCAACATGCTTGTTCTTTTGCCTCCTCTATAGACGGTCATTCCAGAGAAGGAGCTAATTCCGAAGTCGTTAAATAACCACTCAATATCGATTGGTAAATCTCCGCTGGAGATCAAGCAAGTCACCGAAACCGAGTCCTCAACATTTGTCGGTTCATCGCCGAATGTGAAAGGTGTGATCTTAGGAGGAACTTTGGGTTAAACAAAATAATGAATGAATATTACAAAAAAAAAAAAGATAATCCACAAGCCTTATAAATAAGTGTCATTAAGTAAGTGTACCATTCACAATCAGTTCGGTGGTGTAGTTAACAGCTGCAGCATGATTCTTTGCCCGACAACTATATTTTCCCGCATGACTGGCATGGACATTATCAATTGTCAACATGCTTGTTCGCTTGCCACCTCTCAAAACTGTCATCCCTGAATAAGAGCTGATTCCATAGTCGTTAAATAACCACTCGATATCGATGGGTAAATCTCCACTGGATATCAAACAGGTCACAGAAACAGAGTCCTCGACATTTGTAGGGTCCTCGCCAAAGGTGAAAGGTGTGATTTTTGGGGGAACTTTAAGGGTTGGAGTTTTTTAAATATAATGGAAACACATAAAAAGTCTTAAACCTAATCTTAAATCTTCCCGAAAACGATTGCAAATACCATTCACTATAAGATCGGTGGTGTAGTTCACTGCAGCCGCATGATTCTTCGCACGGCAACTATACTTTCCCGCGTGACGTGCCTGGACATTATCTATACCCAAGACACTGCTTCGTTTCCCTCCCTTAACAACGGTGATCCCAGAGTAGGAACTAATGCCGTAATCGTTGAAAAACCACTCGATGTCGATGGGTAAATCTCCGCTGGATATAAGACATGTGACCGAAACTGAATCCTCCACATTGGTGGGCTCATCTCCGAAGTCAAAAGGTGTAATCTTCGGGGGAACTTTGTGGGTAAAAATGGATAAAATCGAACAAAAATTTTAAGAAATCAAATGCAATATTTAATTTTAATAAAAACTAAGTGAGGAAATACCATTCACAATCAGATGGGCGGTGTAATTTACAGCAGCCGCATGATTCTTCGCTCGACAACTATAATTTCCCGCATGACGGGCTTGGACACTGTCGATGCTCAACACACTATTCCGTTTACCTCCCTTCACAACCGAAATTCCCGAATACGAACTAATGCCGTAATCGTTAAAGAACCATTCAATATCTATGGGTAAGTCACCGCTGGATATAAGGCATGTAACCGATACTGAATCCTCAACATTGGTGGGCTCATCTCCGAAGTCAAAAGGTGTAATCTTCGGGGGAACTTTGGGAGTAAAAAAAGTGATAAAGCCAAACGGAAAATTAAATAATTGAACTGAAACATTTTAAAAGTAAAACCAATAGTGGTAATACCATTCACTATCAGGACGGTAGTGTAATTTACAGCAGCGGCATGATTCTTGGCCCGACAACTATAATTTCCCGCATGACGGGCTTGGACACTGTCGATGCTCAATACACTATTCCGTTTGCCTCCCTTCATAACCGAAATTCCCGAATAGGAACTAATGCCATAGTCGTTAAAAAACCACTCTATATCGATGGGAAGATCTCCAGTTGAGATGAGGCAGGTCACTGACACGGAGTCCTCCACATTGGCGGGTTCTTCGCCAAAACTGAAGGGAGTGATTTTGGGCGGAGCTTGGTGTACGGGAAAGGTATGGAAAAATTATAGTCAGGAAATTAAGAAGGTAAATTCTTATTGCAATGTAGGTAAAAGTAGTCCCCCTGCCAACCGTTCACAATCAGGGCCGCTGAGTACTCGCTGCTTGCTGCTTTATTCTTCGCTTTACAGGTGTAATTTCCCGCGTGACCCGCATGCACTGAATCTATGGTCAGAAGATTAGTCCGCTTGCCCCCGCGTAAAACCGCAATTCCCGTGGCAAAGTTGATTGGCTCTCCTTCAAAGAGCCACTCGATATCAATTGGCAGATCACCCGAGGTGACCAGGCAGTTCACGGAAACAGAGTCCTCAAAGTTTGACGGGGACTGTCCGAAGTCGAAGGGTGCAATTTTGGGTGGTGCTGTGGGGTATTATATAGTGGTAGGGATTGAAATCATAATAAAAGCAAAACAAGGTATCTCTATCTGATATAAACCCCCACTCAATACCATTCACGATCAACTCGGCCGTATATTCCGCAGAATCCGCATCATTACGCGCTTTGCAAGTATAGTTTCCCGCGTGACCTCCATGAACCGAATCGATGGTCAGGATGCTCGCTTTCTTGCCACCCTTGACAATGGACACTCCAGTATATGCATTGATGTGGGCCCCGTTGAACAACCAGGTAATATCCATGGGCAGATCCCCCAGGTAAATCAGACAGTTCACAGAGACGGACTCCTCAAAGTTGATGGCGTGATCGCCAAAGTCAAAGTGTGCGATTTTGGGGGGCACTTGTTGGGAAAGTGGACAAGGAGGAAGTGGCAGGAATAAGTACAAAATAATAAAGAAACAACGAATGAAGATTATACAAGCTATTGGCAGTACCATTCACCACCAGTTCGGCGGTAAAGTTTACAGAGGTGGCTCGGTTGACGGCCACACAAGTATAATTCCCGGCATGGTGATCGCGGACATAGTCTATGGACAACGCGCTGATTTTCTTGCCCAACTTAACCATGGATACATCGTAGACATTCTCATTGATCTCGCGTCCGTTGAAGAGCCAAGCGAAGCTAACAGGAAAGTCACCCGAGGTGACCAGGCACTGAACGCTAGCTGATTCGCCAAAGTTTGAGGGTTCATCTCCGAAATCGAAGGGGGAAATTTTGGGAGCCACTGTTCATGGGGTTTTGTTAAGGGTAAGGGAAGTAAAAAGGAAAACAAAATATAAAATACATTATAAATACTGCAAAAGTATTAACCATTCACTTTCAGCTCGGCAGTGTGATTAACAACACCGGCTCTATTCTCGGCCACGCAGGAATAGTTTCCAGCGTGTTTGGCCGACACCGCCTCGATTGTCAGCTCGTTGATGCGCTTGCCCCGCTTGGTGGTCAAGATTTCTAGGTAATCCTCGAAAGGCTGATTGTTCAGGGTCCAGGTAATGTTCACAGGCAGATCACCACCCGAAATGGTGCACTGTACGTTAACAAACTCGCCATAGCTCATGGACTCCTCGCCAAAGGAGAAGGGACTTATTTTTGGCAGTACTGAGAATAGTTTAGATTGGGGTTCAAGGGTATTCAAAAGGTATTCAAATCAACAGAAGTAAATGATAAATCATGTGCATTAATCTTATAACTAGTAAGAGTTCCGTCCATCTAGCTAACCATTCACAATCAGTCGTGCCGAGTGCGCCGTGATTCCGGCCTTGTTCTGCGCGTGACACGAATAGAATCCGGCGTGATGGGCGGACACCGACTCAATCGAGAGCACATTGATTCGTTTGCCGATCCGCGAGAAGGATATATCGTGGAAGCTATCGATGGTGGCGTTATTCAGCAGCCAGGTGACATTCATCGGCAGGTCACCACCCAAAATGGTGCATTGCACGGACGCAGGCTCTCCGTAGTTCAGGGGCTCCTCCCCAAAATCAAAGGACGCTATCTTGGGGGCAACTTTTGGGGACAGAAATTAAAGGCCAATTAGGTAAGTCCAATATGCAAGAACAGCTAACAGCTCAAAACCGCACAAGCTCAGTTAGACAGATGGAGTTAGAGAGATGGGGTTAGATTAGTAGCAACGCAAACTGTCAAGACTTTCGGTAACCGCAACCACTAAGGACTAGTTCAAGATACGATCGATTTTAGTACCGTTCACTGTTAGATCAACGCTATAGCTAGTCGTTCCAGCCGCATTGCTGGCTATGCAGGTATATCGGCCGGTGTTCGCCGGACTGGCACTCGGAATGGATAGCATGCTTGTCTTGGCGCTGATGCGATTCGTGCGCATCTGTGGCTGCATCTGATCGAAACCAGAATCCCCGGCGCTCCGCTCGAAACTCCAGTGCACCTTGATGGGGCGGTCGCCCTTTTGGATTTGACAGAACAAATCAACTGAGTCGCCCATGTTGATCAGGTCCTCATAGGTGAAGGGCACAATTTGGGGCAGAACTGGGAAGTGAGTGGGTTTGGGTTTGGGTATCAAATGATCTCAATCTACGGAACATTAATATATAGGTCTACGAAATGTAATCAATAACCATTAACGAGCAGCTCGGCACTTGAGCTCACGTTCCCAGCATTGTTGCTCGCCACGCAGCTGTAGTTTCCCGAATTGGCAGCCTTCACCGACTCCACCGTGAGCAGACTGATCCGCTCCCCGATCTTGCTGGCCATCACACCCAGGTGAGTGAAGAGGGGTAGGCCGTTGTGGGTCCAGCGAATTCTCAACGGGAGATCGCCCTTGGCCACGTGGCAGGTCAACTGGACGCTGTCGCCCTCGTTGGCCTCGGCATCGAAGCTAAATGGATGTATGCTGGGCAGGACTGGGATGGGGTGGGGTTTAAAATGAGTTAATAAATCAACCATAATAAAGTGTAGATTCTAAGTTACTAGAGATCAAAGGGGTAGTAACCATTGACTTTCAACTCCGCACTGTAGCTGCTTTCACCCGCCTGATTGCGAGCCAAACAGGTGTAGACCCCGCGGTGCTCGGCCGCTATATAGTCGATGTTCAGGGTGCTCGACTTGCTGGACATGCGACCGATCACCACGTCCATGTCCCCACTATTGAGGGTATGATTGTTGAGAACCCAAGTAATGTTGATGGGCAGATCCCCCTTGATGACCGTGCACTGGATGCCCATGGTCTCGCCGGAGTTGGAAGCCTCATCGCCGAAGTCAAAGGGTCGGATTTGAGGTGGCACTTTACCGAAAAAATTGGGATTGGAGTTTGGATTGGAGGAAGAACACAAAACAAAACAAAAAACTTAAAGTCCATATTTCTGTATATTAACCATTGACCACCAATTCGGCGCTTTGCTCGGAAATCCCAGCCGCATTGGTGGCAATACACTTGAACAGCCCCCGATGATGGCCATTGATGGCATCGATGCTCAAAGAACTCAATTTGGGAGACATTTTGATGATGCGTATTCCTACGTGCTCGTTGGTTATTGGTTGTCCATTTAGAGTCCAGTGCAGCTGGAGTGGAGTGTCGCCTTTGAAGACCATGCATTGCACTGCGGTACTATCACCATAATTGCTGGGCTCATCACCAAAAACAAAGGGCATAACTTGAGGGGGAACTAGACGAAATAGGCGGAGAAAACTAGTTCTTATTCCATTTATCAATATGTCAAAACAGCTTCTAAGGACATCTCTGCACTCATACTTAAATCATTTGAGGCTTTCCCGATTGGTATGACCTACTGGTTAACGAATTTCAAAACTTTGGTAAAGCTAATTTTAAAACAGGATGGTTCTATTGGGCTTTGACTCAGCACAAGCAGTTCATAAACTCATATTTTAAACCAATTCAGCTATTATTGTGCACTAATTCTCATGAAATTGTTTATGCTCCAACACCAGACACCAACACACTAAGTGAAGACAACATAGATAGTAAGCGTGCTCTTATTTGCTCATATTTTGATATTTCATGTTGGGACAAACCATTAACTTGTAATTCTGCTACATATTCACTGGTCCCAGCCTCATTTGTGGCTATGCACTTGTAGACACCGCGATGAAATGCATTTAGGGAATCAATATTCAGAGAACTTGTGCGCTTATTCAGACGCACCAAGGTGAAACCGTTTTCTCCGTTAATGATGGGAGCCGAGTTGAGGGACCATCTTATCTCCAGGGGCAGATCTCCCTTGGGCACCACACAATTGGCACTGGCAATATCGCCCACATCGGCGGCAGACTCGCCAAAACTAAAGGGCAAAACCTGGGGCGGCACTTAAAGGGGCGGGGAGTGAATGGCAAACGATTAAAACTCAAACAATTAAAATCAAATAAACTTTTAACTAAGAATTATTTATGAGTATGATATGAATAATGACCATTCACGTGCAATTCAGCGCTATATTCAGCACTGCCCGCCTTATTTGAGGCAATACATTTGTACAGTCCTCGATGTCTGGCCTCTAGTGAATCAATGCTCAAAGAGCTGGTACGGGGATTCAGGCGTGACAGGGAAAATCCATGTTCGCCGGTAATGATGGGTGCTGAATTCAAGGTCCAGCGGATCTCCATGGGCAGGTCACCCTTGGGAACCATACAAAATCCACCAGCCATTTCACCAGTATTGGCCGGCTCAACACCAAAATCAAAGGGTTGGATTTGTGGAGGAACTTTTAGAGAAATGGAAATGAGGCAGAGCAAATCAAAATAAGTAATACATAAAACTAAAAACAAACATAATTGAAGACTAGAAATAGAGATTAAGAAGTCAAACAAACCGTTCACATCAAGTGTGGAAACGTATTCAGCATATCCTGCTGAATTGTTCGCTATACATTTATAGCTGCCCCGATGGACAGCCTCTAAGGAATCTACGTTCAGCGAGCTGGTCCGCTTATTTAGCCGCACTAAAGTGAATCCCAGCTCGCCATTTACAATGAGAGCGGAGTTCAGAGTCCAATAGATATCAAGTGGCAGGTCACCTTTGGGAACCACACAGTTTACACTCGCCACTTCTCCGCGATTCAGGGGCTCATCACCAAAGGAAAATGGACTGATCTGTGGTGCAACTATAGAGGGAAATCATTTTACTCTCTAGATGTAGACAAAGCTCTTAGCCACCAAATAAACCAGGTTCGTGTTAGTAGAAAGCAACTTTACAGACGGATATAGAGAGATCCAGGAGGTGGGATTAACCAACCATTCACTTGTAGATCAGCGGAATAAATCGCTCGACCCGCTTGATTCTGAGCCACACAACTGTAGGAGCCGCGATGCTTGGCCTCCAGTGCATCCACATTTAGGTAACTGGTGCGTTTGTTTAACTGCATCACTGTGAATCCGTTCACACCTGTTTCCACAGGCTCACCATTCAATGTGAAATGGATTTGTAAGGGTAAATCACCCTTTAGGACAACACAAGTGATACTTAAAGCATCACCCATATTGAAGATTTCACTGCCAAAGTTGAAAGGCAGCACATGGGGAGGTACTAAAGATTTCGGAAGGATTAAATAAAATTAAAATAAAATAAAAACATAAATGAAAAAAATAAAAATAAAGGTGCTTTGAGTGAGGTCTCCTTCTCCGTGTACCGTTGACTTTCAGCTCCGATGTGGTGAAACTAGACCCCGCCATATTTTCGGCTATGCACTTGAAGACCCCGCGATGATGCTGCTCGACGGCGGCTATATTCAAGACGCTCGTCTTGGGAGAAAGTTTCAGTATGGTGATTCCCTCTTCGCCGTTGATGATCGGTCGTGAATTGAGCGTCCACTTGATGGTGATGGGCACATCGCCCTTCTGCACCATGCACTGCACTCCGGCATTCTCACCCGTGTTCACAGGATCATCGCCGAAGGAAAACGGAGCTATCGAGGGCGGAACTGCATGGCAATGAAGGGAACGAAATGAGTGTGAGGGGGAAACGAAAATCAAAGAAACAAAAACCGATCATAAAAGCTCTGTGGGATTAACCATTAACAGCCAGGATGGCAGATTGTCTGGTCTCTCCGGCATTGTTGGTGGCCACACAGGAATAGTTCCCGGCATGTCGGGCCCTCACTGATTCGATGCTCAAAACGCTGATGCGTTGACTATTCCGGGTGACTATCAGACCATCATTGGTGTAAACGCGACCGCCATTCTTGGTCCAGGCTATATCGACGGGTAGATCCCCCCGGTTTACGGTGCAATAGGCGGATACCATGTCTAGTTCGTTGATCACATCCTCACCAAAATCGAAGGGCATCATTTGGGGTAGGACTGGATGAGTAAGGATTGGAAAGTGGAATGCAAAAAAAGAGAAGGAAAACTTAAGAAACCGACTTCTTATAGGTTGGACAATAACCATTGACTGCTAGCATGGCGGATTGGGTAATAGCCCCCGCATTGTTGGTGGCCACGCAGGAATAGTTTCCCGCATGACGAGCTCGCACGGACTCGATGCTCAGGACACTCAGGCGCTGGCTGTTTCTGGTCACAATCAGACCATCGTTGGTGTAGACGCGACCGCCATTCTTGGTCCAATAGATGTCCACGGGCAGATCGCCCTTGTTCACCGTACACGAGGCCGAAACCATGTCCAATTCGTTGATGCTGTCCTCGCCAAAGTCAAAGGGCACCACCTGGGGTAAGACTGGGATGGGGTTGGGTTAACAGAAGAGAACCAACGAAAAAGCAAAAGCTCCTACGAATAGATGACCAAACGAGGCTATTAACCATTTACGGCCAGAACAGCCCATTGCCGGGTTTCGCCCGCATTGTTGGTGGCCACGCAGGAATAGTTGCCGGCATGTCGTGCCCGGGCGGATTCAATGCTCAGGACACTCATACGAGTGCTGGTCTTGGTCACCACGATGCCATCGTTGGTGTAGACCCGACCGCCGTTCTTCGTCCATGCCACATCGATGGGCAGGTCGCCCTTGTTGACCGTACAGGAGGCAGACACCATGTCCAGCTCGTTGACGCTCTCCTCGCCGAAGTCAAAGGGCACGATCTGGGGCAGCACTGCGGAGTGGGAACGAGGAAGCGAGGAGGGTCAAGGAAACGGAACTCAAAAACCAAAGGACTAATCAATCTAGGACTCGAAATAGGGCAGAAGCGAACCGTTGACTCGCAGCTCGGCCGTGTGGTAAATAACCCCAGCCGCATTCCTCGCCACACACGTGTAATTGGCTCGATGGCGGGCATGCACGGACTCGATGCTCAGCATGCTGATGCGCTGCGTCGTCTTGGTGATCAGGATGCCATCGTTGGACATCAGACGACCCACGCCCGTCGTCGGATCCGGAGCCGTGGTCCAGTACAGCTCCAGCGGAGTGTCGCCCTTGTTTACCGTGCATGTGGCCGAGACCATGTCATTCATGTTGATGGTCTCCTCCCCAAAGTCAAAGGGCACGACCTGCGGCGGAACTGAGCATGGGGTTTGGGGTTTCGATTGAGAGAAGAACTAGCGACCAACGTTGAGGCTGAAAACTGAAGACCCGCCCACAAAAAGAGTGGAATCGACCAGAGCTCGCCCCAAATATTGGGGAGGTCTGGGCATGAGTTGCTATTCTAGACTTACCCATGACTTGCACTTCCAGAGATCCACGGGCGGAGTATCCTTCCTGGTTCTTGGCCACGCAAGTGTATGTTGCCTGGTCTGAGTTGCGTTCCACGTTCTCGATGATCAGTGTTCCGTTGGGGAAGACCTTCTGTTTGCGGTTGATGGGCAGGGCTCGGTTATCTAAGGTTAGGAAATGAGTGAAGACGGTTTTAGACTTAATACTTAAAGGGTTCTACTAGTTTCAAAGAATAATTGTATTGAATAATTTATAAGCTTCTCATCTTTATATTTAGTTCTCCGTAAAGGAATTCCACTCACCTCGCTCCCAGACAATCGAATCGATGGGGTAGCCAGCTACTGGACAGGTGACAATGAGGGTCTCGCCAGCCACGATCGCCTTCTTCTCCATTTGACGGATGTAGGGCAGGCCATAAACATTCAACTTGGCCGAGTGTTCAGCAACTCCAACTTTGCTCTTGGCTATGCACTTGTACAGACCACCATCGTTGGCGTGCACCGAGGTGATGTTCAGATAGGAAACCACATCTCCGTTGACCGTTACATATTGTCCCACCTGATAGCGATCGTTGTTGGCGATTTTCTTGCCGTCGAGTTCCCAGGAGATTTCGGGGGTCGGGTTGCCGCCAGCCACGCACTTAAGGAATACACTTGGACCGGGTTCCATGGTCTCTTCCTGGAAGGCCTGTCGGATGACGGGTGGATCAAAGCGGCCTCCGAGCTTCAGCTCAGCACTGGCCTCCGCCGATTCCTGGTCGTTCCTCACGAAGCACTGGTACATGCCCTTATCCTCCTTCTTCACGGATTCGATGCGCAGCACAGGTTCGCTGTGTCCGATGGCCTTGCCGTCCTTCATCCAACTCACGGTCTTGATGGGATTTCCGGTGTACTGGCAGGTGAAAACTGCAGGACGTCCGAAGTCAACTGTCTGGGTGGGGGGATCGATCTTGGCGGAGAGTGGGGCGGTGACGGTGAGCACGGTCTCAACGCTCTCCCCTCCCACGGAATTATTGACCACGCACAGGTACTTGCCAGAGTCCTCGACAACCGCGTCCTTAATGATGAGAGTGCCGGAAACCTGCTTCACACGATCATTTAACACCACAGCTTGCTTGCGAGTTGTGCCTTCGATGAATTTGTACCATCTGGAACGAGAGTATAGTGTTAATAGAGAATTCAAAATTTTAAAGTTGGCATTGGGGACAAGTGGGCACAGAGTGAGGCAGTATATTTAATTAACAGCATTCCTGCATTCAGAGACCATGAGCTACTTACCGTCCTTAAGTTCGGTGATGGAACTTACTTACCTTTTTCTAAATTTAATTCAAAATTCCCTGCTCATTCTGTGCACCACTTTTGGGGGAATAGGGAAACCTAACCTCGACCTAGTGAGGGGGACCTAACAATCTACCTATAAACCGGTACTGGATAGCCCTGTCCTGGACAATGTCCAACAAAAGTGCCATAAACAGGCACTTCATTGATCTCAATGCTTTACAAGGCCAACGGGTTCTGAAAAGTGTGATATATATCAAAACCCCAATAGAAGAAAAAACTATCTTGCTAAATCAACTGCCTGAAAGTCTGGTATAAATATAAGTTTGTACCTAAACACTGGATGGGGATACGCTTGTCCTTGACAAAGAATAGAGAAACTATGGCCCAACTTTCGGGTCTGTTCCTGCAAGCGATCTCCCGATATTGTGGGGGCTACACTGCCAATGGGTTCTGAAATAAATCGGTATTCGATCAATCATTGAATCCAAATTTGTTCTGCTGCCTGAATGTTGAAAATGGGTGTATAACCTTCATTACCTAAAAGCTGGTGTGGGAAACGATTGTCCCAGGCACAAAATGGCCAAGTCGTTCATAGCTGACTGAGTAATTTCCTGCAGTCGACCACCGGATATTTTAGGGGATACACTGCCCACGGGCTCTGCAAATCATTGACACTTATGTAGAGATACACCCTAAGTCTAGAAATCTGCCTGAATGTTGGACTAACCTGATAATGGGTACTGGAAATGCCTGCGCCTGGCAAAGTAGGGCAAAACTAGTTGATATCTCTTTGACAAATGTGAAACTCTTGGATTCGCCAGAGAAGGTGGGAGCTTTGGCGCCAACTGGCTCTACAAAAAGAATAACAAAATGCTTCATATGGGTCTATTATGGGATTACTCTTATGTCTATTTAATGGCTACCTTATTAGGGGTACCGGATAGGCCTGTGCCTGACACAGTAAGGCGAAGCTCTGATTTAAGCGTCGCACGAACGTATAGCTTTTCATATCGGAGGAAAAGGTTGGACCTTTGGAACCAACGGGTTCTGGGAAGAAATAAAAGCAAATTCTTAACTGCCTGAATTGCTAGGTATTACCGTGTGTAGGGAACTGGAAATGCCTGAGCCTGACACAGCAGCACAATATCACTCGAACTTGAGCCGAGTAGACTGGAAATCTTTGAAACAGTAGCAAAGGTTGGAGCCTTGGCACCTACAGGCTCTGCAAGGCAAAATAAGTTAGCTTAGTAGAGTTCTTAGGGAAGGTCTAGTTAACTGCCTGAATGTATTCGGTCTGGGGTCTAAGCCAATATAATACCTCATAGCTGGAACTGGATAAGCCTGAGCCTGACACAGCAAAGCAAAGCTTTGACCCACTGGCCGAATATAGGAAAATACATTTGAATCGGTTGAAAAAGTGGGAGCCCTAGCGCCAATGGGTTCTGAAAACAATGAATGGGCATTTACATTATGATTTTGGTATTGGAAAACTGCCTGAAAGTAAAAAAACTATATTCTAACCTCATTATTGGAACAGGATAAGCCTGAGCCTGACAGAGCAGGGCAAAACTCTGACCCACAGAGCGAGTGTACGAGAACGAGTTGGAATCAGTTGAAAACGTGGGAGCTCTGGCGCCAATAGGCTCTGTAATTAACAATCTCTAATTTAGAAAACAATAGGTAAATTAAAGCTAAGAAAACCGCCTGATTTAAACCAAGATCATTGCTAACCTCATTATGGGCACTGGAAAAGCCTGAGCCTGACAAAGCATTGCAAAACTCTGACCCACAGCACGCGCATAGGAAAACGAGTTATAGTCGGAGGAGAATGTTGGAGCCCTCGCACCGATAGGTTCTGAAAAGTACTCAGAAAAGTTTTAACCAACCGCCTATTTTCTGAAACTTGCCTAATGATGGGAACGGGAAAAGCCTGAGCCTGGCACAACAGGGCAAAGCTGGCATCAATCGAACGCTCGAATATGCTGCCCTTGGAGTCACTCGAAAAGGTCGGAGCCTTTGCCCCAACGGGCTCTAAAATAAACAGATTTTATATAACATCTTGGCATTTGTAAGTTAACCCTAAACAGAACCAGTTTGACAGCGTTGGACCTTGTTAAAAGAGGGCTGAGATTACCTAAATATGGACACTGGGTAGGATTGGGCCTCGCAGGTGAGGGCTAGGTCAGTATTTTGGGGCGTCTGTATGGTAAAGGTTGAGGCCACACTAGGAAAACTAGGCGCCTTAAATCCCACAGGTTCTAAAAAGTCAAGAATCATTAGGTGTGGGAAATCTCAGAAAAAATACTGCCTGAATGTTTTGGCTAAGGTAAAGTTGGGAATTTAGCAAGACTATTCAAATGAGTCTTCTTTAGTCTTCTTTTTCTATCCTCTATTCTACCTTTTCTACAAAAAATCTAAACATCATCTATGCTGAAAAAATTGATTTATGAAACTTTAATGTATTTTAGAAGATAGACGATAGCTTAATCACGAAAAACATTGCATTGTTAACTATCAAAATATAGTTTTTTTAAGAGGTATACCTAAAAACTGGCACCGGAAAAGCCTGAGCCTGGCAAAGCATGGCGAAAGTTGAGAGCAATGGAACGTGTTGCTGAAAGACCATAACTCCTGTCGGCACTGACGGAGCCTTGGAACCAATGGGTTCTGGGAAGTGAAAAGTAATAATGAAGGACGAATTCTACATAAAAACTGCACTTCTTGAGTAACTGCTCTGAATGTGGGACTCTTTCGCTCACCTAATAATGGGTACTGGAAATGCTTGGGCTTGGCAGAGTAAAGCAAAAGCCGTGCCCTTTGACTTTTCCACCTCTATAAGCTTGTACTCAAGGGAAAAGGTCGGGGCCTTGGCGCCAACGGGCTCTGCAAATTAAGTCCCCCATTAATTATCTTACTTTAAACGCAAACAATAAACTGACTGAATGTGCGAGGGGGTCAAAGAAATTTCCTAAGTACTTTCCATTTAATTCGATGTTACAAACTTTCACTTAGGCATTGGACGTGACCCAACGACATGAACCTGACCCGAATGACACGGAAAAAACTTCAGCAACTAAGCCAAAAAGAAGAGATACATAGATAAATAATGCACATTTAATTTCGGTCAAAGTTAAGGCCAAAGACATGCGCAGAAGCGCGAGTTAAAGCAGAAACAGCTGAGCGAGCAACAAGTGGAGGTCACCAGCGCCCACTCCGCCCCCTTCAATGTCATTCGACCTTAAGAAAGTGGCACAAACCAACGGTTGTTGACCCAAAAACGTGCGTTCATTCATAAACAAGTGTGTGAGCGGGACAGATGCAATCCACTCGAGCTCCGCAGGGGTAATTGTTTGGGAAATTTCTTGTGGATGCCAAGCATGCGCAGTGGCAAGAGAGAGGCAGAGAGCAAATTGGAGCGGAAGAGCGAACCAGCTGAGCGCCGGGTTTGTTTACAAACTGCATACTCACACCAGCGCAAAATAAAAAAGAGGGAAAGAGGCAGCACCCACACATGCATGGATGTATTTACTGATTCTCTCCCCATTCTCTTTATGGTTTGTTTACGTAGCTTACTTTTCTGCGTAGCCAAGTGTGGATGTGCGCCTATTTTGTTTGTGTTTTGCTTTGCGCGCGCATTTTTATGAATGAACCCTCCGCCCCTTGAACACCCCACTACCACCGCCCCTCTCCCCACTCATAAAACCAAAGTTAGGGGCTACAGTTCACGATTCTCATGCATAATTAATGTCACGTTTGCAAAGGGCCGCGGAATCTGACCTGCTAATGGGCACCGGATATGCCTGAGCGGGACAAAGGAGCACTATGTCCATGCCGCAACGCCTTTCTATGCCGGACCACTTGGTGTCCACCGAAAGTACAGGGGCTTTGGCCGAAATGGGTTCTGCAGGAAGATAGCAAAGTTAGGGTCTAGGATGGATAGACAAGAATGTATGGGATAGGGTATATTTTCTAAGACCTCTTTGAATCATTTCTAATGAGTTTTTATGCGCTTCAAATGATTTCACTAACCAAGCAATCGAATTGGAAAGCCATTCATTTTGCAAGCTTGAAGTTTCAGACTTTGAATACCTTGCTATAAAGGCTAAGACTACCTATAATAACCTTTACTTTCACTTTTTTTTAAGGTAATTCAAAATGCAATATGAGGAAGAACTCTTGCTTACGTTGCGGTCTTAAAAAAACTGTTTTTAATCTCTTTAGTTTAAATTATTACAAATTCTAAAAAACTTTTATATATACTACAGACATTTATGAGAATTATTTTGATTTAAACAAAGACTATATATAGTCTCTAACCTAAATGCGGGAACTGGAAAGGCCTGGGCGGGACAAAACAGGGCCATATTGCTGGACAGCTTCCTCTCGATCCAAGAGCGTTTAATGTCATTGGAGAGCAGAGTGGGAGCCTTACCTCCAACAGGTTCTGTGGAACCAAATACAGTTTGAGTTTGGCTTACCAAAAACTATTACTTAATAGTATTTAAATTAAAATAGAAATCTAAGCCTGAAGTTGGTTGAAGAACTACAATGGAACCCACCTAAAACTGGGTGCGGGATATCCCTGCGCTGGACAAAGTATAGCGGTGGTCGCCGAAGACTCCACAATGTTCGGCTTATAGGTAAGTGCATTTATCTTTGGCGGACTACTGCTTATCGGTTCTAAAAAATTAAATATCTACGTTTTAATTTCAGTTTTAAGTTAAATCCTACTATTTTAAAATTGCCAGAATGTGGAATGTGATTTATCTATTTAAAATGTAATTCTTCTTTAAGTGAACCAACCTAAAACTGGGGGCAGGATAACCCTGAGCTGGGCATAATATCGAGAGGTCGGTGAGACCAGGAA